TATAAAGTCAGAATTGAGAGTTATAAAGTCAGAATTGCGAGTTCATATCACACAGTTCTGAGAAAAAAAGTCAGAATTGTGAGATAAAACAATGAGATGTTTCAGTGGCGGAAACAGGCTTCCAAAGTTACGTGAAATCTCTTTTCATATTTCTGAGACAAAATTGTTTCGACAACAATGGTTTTCAGTGCAGGCTAACAAAATAGATGGTTAATTTATTTTTTGTGGACATTAAGGAAAAAGAAACACCATTATCTGACTACCATTGACTTTTTCCCCCTTTTAGTGGACAATCTTCTGAAAATGGCTTGCTGTAGTGTGCTGCCAGGCGGCGGAGCAAACACAGAATATGTCCTCCACTGTCTTTTTGAGTGCAGAGGAGATATTATGGTTAGTATTTTTCTTATTATCGCTTCCTGTCACTAACACTTGTTCTCTAAAAAGCCTTAAAATAACTATCATGTTCCAGAATACCCTTGAAAAGCTTCTCCTGCCAACAACACTGAGAAACACATCCAGCCCCAAAATGGACTATCATTACGCAGGTGTGTAAGATTTTGTTACCCCAAAAAAGACTATTTTTTTTCTCTCTTTTTACTGTGGTATTCTCATATGCAAGTATTCCTTCCTGAGGAAGTATTAAATTATACTATGTGACCCTGGACCACAAAACCAGTCATAAGGGTCAATTTTTCGAAATTGAGATTTATACATCATCTGAAAGCTGAATAAATAAGCTTTCCATTGATGTATGTTTGTTAGGATAGGACAATATTTGAAAATCTGGAATCTGAGGGTGCAAAAAAATCTAAATACTGAGGAAAATCACCTTTAATGTTGTCCAAATGAAGTTCTTAATGCATATTACTAATCAAAAATTAAGTTTTGATATATTTACAGTAAGAAATTTACAAAATATCTTCATGGAACATGATCTTTACTTAATATCCTAATGAGTTTTGGCATAAAAGAAAAATCGATAATTTTGACCCATACAATGTTTTTTTTTGGCTATTGCTACAAATATACCCCAGTGGCTTAAGACTGGTTTTGTGGTCCAGGGTCACATACATAGAAGACTATAAATTAAGGGCCAGATTTACTAACAGCTTGCACCAACGCAAACCTCTTTTGGCATTAAACTACTGTCAGAATTTACTAAAGAAGCGCAGTGAAAGATTAGCACTTAAAAGGCATGAACACAGTCATTTTTGTGGCTGATCTTATTGCATATGCATTTGTAGGACTTACCCTTTCAGACACAAAATGTAGGAGAGGAGGGAGGAGAGTGCCTAAATGAATCACGCAACATGATTTACTAAGGTTTGTGCTAGTCAATTTACTGGTATTTGTTTCATTTTGCCCGCCCAAAAATGTCTTAAACCAGATGCTAATTTGCACCGCTCTTGGTAGATTGCGCTGGTCATTATGGAAACGATCTGGCTGCATCTGTGTCCTTTAATCTGCGCATTGTCAGTAGATCAGCCGCAGAACTTTCCACTCCTATCGGCGCTTTTATGTGTTTGCTTTCTCACGCTAATCTGCCCCGTTTAGTAAATCTGGCCCTAAATACTTGAAATACTGAATGAACCACGTTACAGCATTTCTTCTTCTCCTCTTATCAACCAGGATCAGACAGATGGACGCTTCAGGACAAACGGCAGCTGAACAAAGCACTTTCCATTCATAACAAGGACTTCTATTTTGTCCAGAAAATGGTATCTGTGGTCAATTAATATTAAAGGGCTTGTGCAGGTTTCATGAATGCACTGTACATTTAAGACTGACAAGACCGAGTAAAGAAAATCTAAGGAATAAATTGAATGGAACACAATGCGCCAATAAGTTCTCTAAATGTAAATGTCTTGTATTAGCAACACTTCAAAACAGATCTCCATTACTTTTTCATTTATTTTACAAAGAAATACTTTAAATCTTGAATAGCTCTGCTAATCCACTGGAAATAACTTTTTCCCGATAACACAGCAAAAAAAGTGATGTTCTTCATCAATATTTTTGTCTTGTTTTCCAGTGCAAAAGTCTAAAGATTCTAAAATCAAGATACATTTACTTGAGAAGCATGTTTTCTGAAAAACTGGTCAAAATAAAGTGAGTTCATCTTGCATATTTGTACCAAAAATTTCCGGTACAGGGCTTTCGGTTCGGTATGCATGTGTACCAAACAAATACTGCGTGGGTTTAACCACTGCATGAGTGGAACTTCATTGGAAACTTGCAGTTTTCTATTGTGTTACTTTTGATAAGAAAAAAATCTCATATTTAAAAATATGTTCTTTTTTTTTTAGGAAATTCAAACAATAAATGATTTTAACCCTCTTTGATGTGGCGCGACAGATCGATGTATAAACACCTCAGTTCAAACGGCAGCGCGATCATCTCTTCCTCTTTACTACTAGTTTTAACGTGAAATAAACATGAACGAACATCTCATTCCTCACGTAATCGCTCAATCAGTGTTTCGACCACGGAAAGAAGTCAGTAAAACAGCTTGTAAACAAATTGTCACGTAGCATTTCATTTACCTCAGGAAGTCATCAGTGTCCACAGCTCGTTATTGCGCTATAAATGGAGTCTAGAGAAGAGCATTTCGCGAAATATTACACTATATACTCTATATACTTGACTATATATTTTTAAAAGATTCTGTCACACAGAATTTTTTAAGATTCTGTCACACAGTGGATGTACACTTGTAGTGTACTTTACATTTTTTAAGTATATATATATATATTTTTAAACTGTACTTGCAGATAATATAAATGAATGAAATGTGTACTTAAAGAGACACTTTCATAACTGTTTCTTAAGTACACTTAAAGGTGTGCACTTTATAATAATGTCAAATTAAAAGTTAAACTTAAAGTACATTCCAAATAACTGCGTTCTAATAATATTTTGTCACTTGATTATAATTTTAACTGTAGTGTGTTATTTAATATTACATTTAAAGTTAATACATTTTAATAGCAATTTTATCATTACAAATGTGTAATTGCAAATATATTATGACATACAGGTTTCAATAGAAATTACTTTTAAAATATATTTTACTTTACTATAAAAGCTTGTCAGTGCTTACACTTTAACCATGTATCAAAGACAATTGAATGAATTATAAAAATTACAAATAAAGATGTTCTTAAGTCCTACTTAAGTGGGTCAAAAAACACTATTTAACTCTTGCACTTATTATCATTTTAAACTATAATACATTTTCCTTTACTGTAATTGCAAAAAACAAGCAATTAAGTGTCTGAACATTACATTCAGTTCACACTAAAATTTAGCTTTTTAAAATATATTATTTCTGTAATAAGTACTAATTTTAAAGGTATTCTAAAGCATACTTTTTCATACAATGACTTTTGTCAAGCTCCAAAAATACATTAAAAATAAAAACTCGTTAAAAGCACCGAATAAGTACTCCATACAACAGATAATCTTCCAGGGTGAATTCATTAAAATTACAATTTTAGCCTGTTACCCAGACCAAGCTATCATAAGACCTCAGAAGACTTGAAATATAGTGCATGAGTTGCATGGATGTTAGATTTACGGTGTTAAGTAAGTAACTAACTAGGACATACAGGTTTCAATAGAAATTACTTTTAAAATATATTTTACTTTACTATAAAAGCTTGTCAGTGCTTACACTTTAACCATGTATCAAAGACAATTGAATTAATTATAAAAATTACAAATAAAGATGTTCTTAAGTCCTACTTAAGTGGGTCAAAACACACTATTTAACTCTTGCACTTATTATCATTTTAAACTATAATACATTTTCCTTTACTGTAATTGCAAAAAACAAGCAATTAAGTGTCTGAACATTGCATTCAGTTCACACTAAAATTTAGCTTTTTAAAATATATTATTTCTGTAATAAGTACTAATTTTAAAGGTATTCTAAAGCATACTTTTTCATACAATGACTTTTGTCAAGCTCCAAAAACACATTAAAAATAAAAACTCGTTAAAAGCACCGAATAAGTACTCCA